ACTTTTCCCTGCACTAAAGTTTTTTGATCACCTAGCTGTGGCTTCCAGTGTGACTCGTGGTACTGATGGCAAGTGGGATTTCCTGCATATGAGGTGTTTGGTAACTTCCTACATCAAGTGCATTCTCCGACGTATTTTTTTGTAACACTACACTTTCAGCAGAACTTTGTGGACTAATGGAAAGAGAATCCCACTTTGCCTAGCAGAAAAGCATCCCATAAGTGTTTCTGGCAGAGTGCACGGGGGTAGGTGATGCTTCAGTCACAGCATGATAGGCATGACACAGCTACAGTAGGATCTCAGTGCTGACTGAGGGCAAAGTCAAACTGTTTATGCCATTTCCATCCCCACGTACCCATCTCACCCCCTTGGGGGTCACCATTTCTAGCACAATTTGACTTAACTGAACATAAAGCAGCTTTTTAGCCACTGCAGTTTGCAGCCCACATGTCTGAGCTTAGCTAGCGGTAGTTTTAGGGTACCTTAATAGACCAGGCTGTGAATGTGCTGGTTCAGCAACCGCTTTGCAAGTGGCTCATTCCAGCCAGCCAGCTTGAGTCTGCCTGTGCTCATGAGTCAACACTCCTACTTTTGTCAGCTTGTTCTAAGTAAGGGCTGACCTGCGTAAATGTGATCGTGTTCGGAAGTAATTGTTAAATAATTCTGTCAGATTAAGATTGACTGCTCTTTACCAGCGTGGCGTTTCTTGGCTTTGCTCTTCTGCCCGGTTTGGACATAGATACACCTCTGCTGACAAATTTGCTAGCTCTTACTGGTGAGATCTTAAGCAGCCTTGTGATAAATGCTTCAGCAATGTGTAAAAGATGGACCTTAAGCACAGTTGCAATCTAAAGGCTTGTCAGCAGACCTGTAGTGTTCACAGGCTACAAAGAGCTGTGTTGATATGTACACAGGCATGAAATTGTTGTAAAAAAGTCTTTCTTGCCCTTGCCTGGGCGGAACTGCAGGTGAGATAGGTGTTAGGAAGCGTGGCTCTGCAGTAGCTGGTGAGACACGTATCTTCATGCTTAGACCTTGGGGATTTATTTTATAGGCGTTTTTCCTTATGTAGCAGTGGGGTAGTGGAGCCAGTACAAAGGGGGGGGCTTTGCATGCCCCACTGTCAGACTAGACCATCACCTTTCAGTCACACCTGGTGATTGACATGTCAAATACATATAGGAACAGCTTTGCCTTGAAATAGGGGAGGAGTCGGATCAGACATCTGCCTATACCCTTCACCCTGGCAGCCGCAAAAATGGTTCTGTCTGGGGCACTGTACCACTGCAGCAGTCTGAAAAGTCACTTCTCTTTGATGCTTGTCTCGTTTCTTTGGAGGTAAAGTTAGACTCTTAGAAGAAAAGGCTGAAGAGAGAGTCATCTTATTTTTTCCCTGAACATTAATTTTCTGTTAAATTATTCTTCTCTTTTTTTCTTTTTGATGTATCGCACATTTTCTAACCAGATTATTTTTGGCCAGTAACAAAAGGTTAATAATAGCCATAAAAAGAAAATCAATCTTTGATTATTTTTTTCCTCACCAAGGTAATAAAGGAGAATTTTTTATAAAGGTCTCTGTTTGCACATAGGTGTGTTCCCAGAGAAAGCAGACGTATTTTCATTCTCAGCCATATATAAATTGTAATAACATTTCAAGACTTTGTGATCTAATGTTTATTTCTCTCTTTTATTTATTTTGACCTTTACCTTGTAAGAATGCACATCCAAAGCAAAAGCAGAAGGAATTTTAAGAGCCACCAGAAGAAAAAGGGAGAGGGCAAAACTTTAGTTTCCTAACAGGACACAAACACCGCAGCACCTGCTATTATACATTACCAAATGTATACATATGTTAATATGTAGGCTATAAAGAATGGTGGGTTGAATGTAAGGGAATATCTGGTGACGTGAACCAGTGGCACTGTTATTTCAGAGCAATGTGCTCTCAGTAGAAGTTCCCTTCACAGGCTGCATGCAGCACCTCTGCCAGAGCCCAGTGTGCAAGCAGCCTCTGCAGTTTCCACCAGGTGGTTCTCCGTCTTGTTCAATTTGCAGCAGTACCTGCATGCAGGAAGCATAGAGAGATAAATTAGGGATTGACGGTTATGAGCAGGTAGTGAAGGACAGAAATGTTATAGACCAATTTTTTTTAAAATTGCCTGTGTTTTAGTATGCTTCTACAAAGTTAGTCAAACAGTATGACAGATTTATGCGCTCTTCTATTACCTTTTTAATAAATGCTCTTCCATCTTGGCTCTCTTGGAATGTGCTAAAGGATTTAGCTGCCCTAAGCAGATGGTGACAATGGTGCTCTGCTAGGTGACCTGGAGCAAGTCATACCAGTTCACTGTGACTGTAGATGTGCCTTACTCACTTTTTGCTTCCTTATTTTAGTTATCTTTGTACTGTCTGTTGTGAAAGTAGTTGTAGTCTTTGGATCAAAAGGCTCTGCAAGAGTCAACTTACTGCTCTTTGTTGGGAGCAGGAGGAGAGGTCGCCTGGGTCTGCTCATTCATGTAGCATGCTCAAAACCGCTTTAATTCTCGGAATAACCACACACTCCTGGACTGCAGTGGTCCATCACTTGTGCTTTTTGTTTTAAACAGTGGTGCTGGAGTTTCAAAAGGGTGGTTCGCTAATGTCACTGAAAATCTGCAGCAATTGTGTTCTCTGATTGTTCATAATTAGCTCTAATAGCACGCTTGAAAAGAGGTGGTAAGCAATTGCCATGGTCGAGGGGATACAGAAAGGCAACAGGCTTCTCTACTTTGTTGAAAAGGGGCGTTTGTGTAATTGAAGTACCTAAATCTTCGTAGCCAGAGGCCATTTCAAAGTGGGTGGTGGTATGGTATTTTAGAGCTCTGCTGGATGGAAATACCCAAAGCTTGGGGCTCAATCTGAAAACAGCCTCCTTCCACTGGAACTGTTTTCCCAAAATGTAGGATTTTGAGTGATGAAGTGAAAGGAAGGGGAGTATATTCATAACATAACAGTTATGAAGGAGCTTGGCAGCATGATTATAATATCCATTTCTAGCTTTAAAATATATGAAGACATGAATAAGTTTTCCTTGCAGAGGATGAGCCACAAAGGAAAACCTTTTTCCCCTATGGGAAGAGTTTTTCCTTGCAATGTTTTCTCTGGCTTCGGAAAGGCTGTTTTCTGGAGCCAGGGGAGGCACTGAATGCAAGCCATGTGGAATTGCACCCCAGCTTTGCGCTCCCCTGCAGCTGTGCTATGGCACCCTCAGTGTTGCCTGTGCCAGAAGCAGCGAACTGGCCTGGTCAGAGACATTATTCGTCCTTACTGTATCTGGTGGTGCAATGCCAGTGTGGAGGAGACAGCAGAACTTGGCTTCGCTCCTGGATATGAGGTGCTGCTCAGCCAGGTTTCAGAGGAGCCCCTTTAGCGTATTTATGGGGAAGTTTAGGCACAGTGAATTCAGTGCTGTTAGGTGGAAGAGTGCTGTTAGGTGGAAGAGTGCTCTTGGAGCAGAGTCTAAGTCAGGTCACCTGCTTCTGCAACAGCAAGGCAAGTAAAGCAGCTTGAAAAGGAGGATTCTGTGCTCTGGTGCAAAAGCCTCGCATGGTTGCTCATCCTACACAGGGAGCGTTGCAAGTATACAAATTACTAGTGCTGTTTTAAGAAAGATAAAGGGCATCATGGTATAGTAATTGTCCAGTGAGAGAGAGAAGGACAAATGGCATCTGTCATTTTTAACATCAAAACAGTAGACCATAGACTGTCCTCCTGGACTTGCAGTGGCCGCACTTGTTCACTTGTGGGTATTCTCTGCTCCAAAATAATAATTTCTGCATTCGGAGTGTGCCATTGGGAACGCATGGGGAACTATCCTGGAGTGGTTGCCACAGATCAGCTTACTCTGAAAAAGCGTTTCAAACCTGTCTGACCATGTGAACAAGTCTTAAAATAAATATTGTTAGATGTAAGTGCAGCTGTATCACTTGACATGCGGGATAATTAAGGGCTGTGTACATATCTAGCTGGTAGAGCAGCCGAGTTAAAATTGTACCTAAATATTATTTTATGATTTTTAAACTACATCATTATGCGGTTCTGTTAATCAGCTTATCAATGGTATGGTAATCATTTGTGTATGCCAAAACTGTACTATAATTGAGACTACAAGGATGAAGAGAGCTGTAACTGATCTTCAGTTTTTAGTTGCTGACCTTTCGCTTTCCTACTGAAGGTGCAGATCACTGTCCTGGACCCTAAACAGCTTGTCAACAAGTTCTCAATGGTCACCCATGGACCCTCAGGGGTTTGGGAAGGAAACTTGAGAACCATCAGGTTAAGAAATCTGTTGCTGGTGTATGTGTATTTTATTTTATTCATTCATACACACCAGTAATTTCAGTGAAAAGCACCTAGTGTCTGTGCTGTCTGCAGAGAGTTGGTTGCTCTTTAGTGCCAATATTGTATCTGTATCTTGTACCAGTTCACACAAGGCTGCACAGCTCTCTGAAGTTGTGCTTGTCAGCATGTGATTTTGAATTAGCTGGGATTTTTATTTTTTCTAAAAGATATAGAGAATAGCAGGAGGCGTGTGGTTGCCTCCCTAGCTTGTCTCTTTTCCCAGTCCCCTGCCACACACCTCTAGCAGACAGCCGCTTCCCTCCTCTCTATTTGCATGCTAACACACTTGTGAGTCAGAGGGCTTCTGGAGTCAAGAGATGTGGAGTAGCCATCCCCTTGTAATACCTTCACTCACATCCTCGTTGGGGAAAAAAAAAAATCTTTTCAAATGAAGACAATACAAACATAATAAATG